GTTAGGTCAGTTTCGGTTTGACCATTTGTAAACCGACCCAAATATGTATATATATATATATATATATATATATATATATATATATCTTAGTCTAAAATATTTTATATCATAAATTTATTTCTTTTCTAATTTGTTTTTATTAATAATACCATTGTAATTTATTAAATTTAAATTCAATTTTTAAGCTTAAATCTTTTGAACAAACAAACTAAACCAAAAATAGACCCAAAACGATACAACCTGAGTTGACGGGTTTTCCCTAATGGTTAGTCAGTTTTGGGTGGCAAACTCCCGACCTAACAAAGTCGATTTGGTAGGAAAAATAACTTACAACCAAACTGAATCAAGCCTTGAACACTCCTAATTTTAGCTAAATTAATAGTTTAATCTTCAATAATTATTGAAAATTTATAGCAAGAATACACAATTATTGAAAATAAATTTATAATGAAAATACAATAATTAGAAAATTAAAATAAATACTGAAATATATATATTCAATTAGTCAATAAATAGGGTAATTTCAAATAATAGTTTAATCTCTAATAAATTATTAAAAGTACATAATTACTAAAACTAAATTTATAACAAAAATACAATAAATTAAATTTCAAAATTTAAATAATAGTTGTTTACTCTCCAATAATTATTAAAAATTTTCTGTTAAATAAAAAACAAAAATAGATTTATAAAAAAAATTATTAAAATATATTTATCAAAAAATATAATAAATAATTACTGAAAATACAATAAATATTAATTTTAGTACATATAAATATATAATGAATATACACTATTATCATAAAATTATAACTAATAAATATTATTTTCTGAAAGTTATTTTCTAATATTACTAATTGATATAAGTGAAATTAGTTATTTACAATATTATTTAGTTATTTAAAAAATATTTCTATTTAAAATTATAAAATACTAACTATTCATTGAATTTAATAATCTATAAAATTATAATAAGTACTATTAGTACATAATTCGTGATTAATTTTGTAAAATATGAAATTATTATTAATATGAATACTATGAGATATACTATAATTATATTTCTACTTTTGAGATATTTTTTAAATTTATTACATGATTTTGTTATTTTAACTATTTAAAATTTATTCATGTTAAATATTTTGTAGTTTAGATATTTAAATAATATGTAAAATATTTAAAATTTTTCTTTTTATTTATTTTAAATTTATTACATTATATTAAATATTTTTTATATAATTATTTTTGCTATTTTTAGTGTTTTGTTATTTAAGATAATTCATAAAATTATAATTTTTTTGTTACTAAATAATTTCGATGATGGATTTTGTAAAAATATAGAATTATTAATAATATGAACATTATTAAATCTATTATAATAAATTTTTGTGTTCTGAATAAATATTTTAAAGTTAGTATATAATTTTATTATAATATTTAAATAGTTCTAGAATGTTTTTAATTGACACTTTCTTTAGATAGATATAGATAAAAAGTGGGGGAGAGGATAAATAGGAATTAGTGATAGTTTAGGAAATAATTTCTCTACTAAATTATAGATAATTTAAGAGATAAATAGGAGTTAGAGATAACTTAGGAGGTCAGTAGGAATTAGAGACAATTAATTTAGGAGAAAGTGGGGGAAAGTGAGTCCATGTTCTGTGCACCCATGGGTGCACTAGACGCATAAACCCGCGAATCATTTTCGACCACATAGTCCATTCAAACATTAATGGTTAAATGTACATTAACATGGGTTTGGCGGTTCAATTGGGCACGAATTGGCCACAACATGACCTATGGGTGCATCAAAAATTCCCCAAACCTCATATTGTGAGATTTTTCCCCTGGAAGTTTTCCTCCTTCCACCGAACCCTCCCTCCATCAGCGGCATTAAGGATAGCTCCAGCAACAAGGAAGTTTTCATCATTCTTCTTCTTTTTTTATGGAAAATTTTCATCATTATTCCTTCAATTAAAGAAATTTTCAAAAGAAAAAAGAGATAGAGCACTTCTGAAAAATAAGTTATTCTGTGAAAGAGACCTCAACCATGTATATGATCTATTTAAGCTATAGGCTGTGTTAATTATATGCTTAGTACTCTTCACTCTTGACTTGATGTAGTCACACTATTATACTCTTGACTCGTCTTTCAGCTTTCAAACTAGTGTCTTGAGATTGAGGTTTTAAGCAAAGAAGACCCTGAAAACCTAGCAGGTGGGCTAATTAAAAGGTAAAGAGAAAATCCAAGGAACACTTGGAAACCCACAAGAAATAGCCATGAAAAATGTGAGTACCAAAAAGAAAAACAACAGGAAAAAGAGGAATGGAAGGTGGTTGCAACACAGACATGATCAAACCAATAACTAAGAAGGAATAGTTTTTGAGGGAGAGTTAGAATAGAAATAATTGCAATCAATCATAGATTCAAACCAAAATTGAGGAAATCTAGAGATGTGCATCTCATATTTCTTTTCTTCTATGATGTATATTAGATTTCAATATGGAGGACATGAGGTGGGAGGCTACGACAAGACTTCGGGGGGATTTGGCAATTCAAAGGGCTCGAAGCTGCAACACTATAAACAGACATGGACATGCTACTCATGCAAGAATCGCTTCCAACCACCATGTTACTAGCTTTAATGTCCTCGCTTTCTTCATCTTCACTAGGAAGACGGTGGAAATTAGGGTTAATAAAAGATGTTGCAACTAGAACTACGATGCTCCTAGCAACGAGTGACCCTGCAACATCCCTCCAAAGTTGGCGTAGTCATTGTCTCTGGTAATAACAATTGGTGGCTTGGGTTTGTTCTTCAACCCAGGTGGTCAGCCTCTTGGTTTCCGAACAACTTCCACCGTCGACCCAACATCTCCCTCGATTGAATTGCCGAACCCATATTAACGTTTGGATGGATGACGTGGTCGAAGATGATTGGCGAGTTCCCACATACAGTGCACCCATGGGTGCACAAAACATGGACTCAAGGAAAGTGGTGCCACTTAGCTTAACATTAGAAAATCAAATCCCCCTTTCTTTATGGTTGTTAAAAATAGTTAGGCCTATGTTATTTTTATTAAAAAAAAAAAACAGGAAATTAGGAAGGGGTTTGGAGCAAGGAGAGGCATGATGAGGTGGACTGCTTTGCTATATATATATGCAGATATTATATTATTTATATTAAAATATTTTTATATTTTAAAATAATTTCCCTTATTTTCAATAAATCTATTTTTAAAATTAAAATAATTTTAATTTAGAAATTTCAGAGATTCAGGTCCCCAATGGGGGAACCCATCTACACCAGTGATATGGGATGGAGGGTTGTTTTCAAGGTTCAAAATTTTGATACGTATCATTTTAGGGACTTCCCAATATGCCCCTACAGGGGGTGTTTTAGAATTTAACCTGGTTCAGGGGTAGACAGGCCTTAAACCAAACCCTCTGAACTAGGTTTAAGAAAACTAAAAAAACTAGGGGAGCAAGCCCCAATACAGTCCAATACATCCCTATTTGGCATATCGGGTTGTATTTATATTTTGAACCTTGGTTATTTTATCTCCGATGGAGACTGGGATCACAAATAAGGATTTATTTCAAAATCGGGAATAGGACAAGGGTATGGCCCCTGCCCTCATTTCTTCTTTTACCTTCATGGCATGGTTTTGAAAATTGGACCAGACCAGATGATCGGACCGATTGACTTTGGAATTGATTAGGCAACTGGTTCCGTTTCACCTTAAAACCGCTCATAATCCAAAAATCATTGATTTAGTCAACAACCAACTGACCCCGACAATTGAACCGTCAATCTATTGACCTGGACAACAAATTTTGATTATTTTTTTATTTTAATTATTTTAATTATTTTTTTAATCAGAATGGGCTGTCCCTTCGAATTAGATGGTCAGACCATTTAACCTGAAAACGGTCCCCAAAACCGTGCCGTATCCGATTCGATTTCTAAAACCTTGCTTCATGGTATCATATCTCCACTCTTGTCTCAGGCCCGGCGTCCGACGTGACCAAAGCGCCCGTCCGGATTTCTTACATTTTCCGGCATCCTAAAAATGTAGCGATAGTTAAGAGCGATGTCCTCTTCAGAGTCTTGAAAAAAACAAAATGGAAAACGGTGCAAGTAAAGACAACCATCCAACTTGTCAAATTAAAAGCGGCCCCATTTTTGCTTATCAAAATCAAACACGCCTCTATTTATTTTTTTTCTTTTCTTCTTCTCTTTTATTATTATTATTATTTTTTTTTTTTTTATAAGCAGCCTGTGTGGATTGTTACGGGTCCATTCATCCATTGAGAATACTCAGCCATGTTTAATTTCGAACAAGCCATCAATTATTGTCTTCTTTTCCATTTTGTTTGGTAATCATATAATAAATGATAATATATTATGAAGCATTAGTTGATTGTCGCTTTATGCCCCACCTAACAAATCATATGATCAGGGAAACTAGGGAAGGTTTTTTCACCTACCCTCTCCCTATATTAGTCAAAAAAGAGGGCCATGCGGGTCAGGACTCAGGAGTGACCCATTTGGATTTTGGGTTGAAGGGAGCATTCGTAGTCCTTATCCAATATACATTTCGATATATCGTTGTAATTCTGTACATACAATATCTAATAAGTGTGTGCCAGTGCCACCCTATACATAACCTGATCCGATCCAACGGTGGGCTTCTCATGCAATGGATCCGGATTTTCAATTAATTACGAATTTTCTATTCTTTGTCCGCCCAAGGTTTTTATCAAACATGGATACTGGTCCCGGGTTTGAAAATAGTACAATCTGTGCACATCATTATTGGTTGTTGAGTTGGAATCTCCTCAGAAAAATAAAGAAGGGATGCATAGTGACATTGGTCATATGACTCGTTCTGTGCAACATATATACTTAAGCTGCCAGGGTTGTGGCGTGGGTTTGGCACCCATGCCGCCCGACAAATGAAGGCCACAATTTAATTGTGAAATTAGTTAATACTAATAGTTAACCTCTCTCTTTGTTCTCGCAAATTTAGATTTTGCAGGCCGAAAGATTAAATCTTCCGAATACCATATTACTTTGTTATCTATTACAACCGGTACCAGTATTACATATACTACAAAGGAAATATAGAAAAAAGAAAGAACAAGATGACCTACCGTCCCTTTGACCTACTTATATCCTCTGCTGGATGTCTACCTCCCTCTACATATCTCACAACCAACCTGAAGGGAAGAAGAAGAAGAAGAAGAAGACACCCCGGCCACCTGATTCAATCAACGGAACATATAAAACTAAAAATAACTGTAACGTCGATATCATGAGGGGCTGTGTTTGAGCTTCTCGGGGCTCTGATTCATCTTCTTCTCATAATCGTAATCGTAATCGTGGACTCCCTCGTCTTTGTTAAGAGAAGGATCATCTTTAGCAATAGCGACACTGATCAATTTGCAAGGCTCAGCGTCCTCCAGCATTTGAACCACCGTCCTCATGGAAGGCCTCAGAGCTGGAAGCCTTGACGTGCAATGCACCGCTATTCTCAACACCTTAACTGCGTCTTCCTTTAATCCATCCGGAATCCTTGAATCCACCACACCCATCACGCTTTCTCGGCTCCCCATCTTGCTCAATATCCACTGTACGATGTCCTTGTTCTCCCCGTATTCTGGTTCTATCGGCCTCTTTCCCGTCACCAGCTCCATTAGAACCACTCCGAAGCTGTACACGTCGCCCTTCTCGTTCACCTTGCACGTGTATGCGTATTCTGCACCACCCCCCAAACCCAAATCAAAGAATCAGAAGTCAGTCCCCTTAACATATAAATTGAATTTGATAAATGGGAACCAATCCAACGGTGTCAACCCATTAAAATCGCGATACTAAAAAATATCTGAAAATGAAAAACGTAAAAAACTCACCGGGAGCAATGTAGCCATGCGTTCCTGGGATGACTTGTGTCGAGTCCTTCCCGCCATTCGCCTGCACAATCTTCGCGAGCCCGAAGTCGGCGATTCGAGGTTTCAAAAACTCGTCCAAGAGTATATTGCTTGATTTCACGTCACGGTGTAAGACGGGCCTATCGTAACCGTGATGCAGATACTCCAGACCCTTAGCGGCTCCCACCGCGATCTCGTAACGAGTCTCCCAATCAAGCTCCACCTTCCGACACGTGTGTAGCCGGTCCCACAAGCTTCCATTCGGTAGATACTCGTAAACTAACAGACAGGAATCTTCACTCGTGATGCTGCAATACAGTTTCACCACGTTCACGTGCCGTATGGAGCTCAGCGCCGCCACCTCCGCGTCGAACTCCGGCGGGTTCCCCGATCTCTTCTTCAGCATCGCAGTGCTACTCTTGGCGCTTTTCCGTCCCATCGAGTCTGAATTCCAGATATGCTTCACCGCCAATTCATTGCCATTCTCCAAAACCACCCTATAAACGTTTCCTGACCCTCCCTTTCCGATCAAATTCTCCTGTCGTATCGAATTCAATATTTCTTGTTCGGTGAAACTCAAGACACGGAACGATTTTATGTCCCAAGAATCCTTTGACAAAGAAAATTCGTGCTCATTTTCTTTCTTCTTCCTCATGAAAGCGAGGCATCCCAGCAACGAGACCAAAACGGCTATTGCCGCTACGAAGCAAAATATCAACGTCCGGGAATCGACTGACCTGTCGGAATTCGACGAACATGCAGGGAAGTGATCCGGACCACAGAGTCCGGGGTTTCCAGCGAAACTACCGTTATAAGCATCCACTATAAGAGATTGTGGTACACGGCCCGTTAGCTTGTTGTTTGACAAATCGAGAAGGCTAAGCCGCAGAGAAGATAGGCTCGCCGGGATTGATCCGGAGAGATGATTGTTCGATAGGTTTAATGAGTTCAGAGAAGGCAATGACCCGAGTGTCGCCGGAATATTACCGGTGATTGAGTTGTGGGCGAAGTTAATGACGTTGAGAGAAGCACAGGAACCAAGCGAATCGGGTATGGCACCAGAAAACATATTATCCTCCAAACTCAGATCGTTAAGTTTGTTCAAACTTCCGATGTTCTCTGGAATATTGCCGGAGAAGTTGTTGTGGCTCAAATCAATTGAAACAAGGGCCGACGCTTCTGAGATTTCTGAAGGTAATTCACCGGAAAATCTATTGTTGTCGATCAATAACTGCGCAAGTGCTTTGGCATTCTTGATGTCAGACGTGACTGGACCTTCCAATTGGTTCATGGCAAGATCGATGATGTTAACTTTGGGCAAACCCCAAATTCCAGCAGGGACAGTGCCGGAAAGCGAATTATTGCTTACTCGAAAACGAGTCAGAGACGAACAATTCGCGTAACTTGCTGGAATTTCTCCGGTGAGATTATTCTGGAGTACGAGCAATTCCTTCATCTTGCCGTTCTTGCACATGTCTGGCGGAATCGGACCCGTCAAATAATTCTCAGAAACGTCGATGAAATCAAAATCTGCCCAAGATCCGAGCTTTTGAGGGAGTGTGCCTGTCAATCTGTTCGTGTAGAGCGAGAGATTGACGAGATACTTGAAATCCCCAAATTCTTGGGGGATCTCCCCCGAGAGATGATTCATAAAGAGTTGCAGACTAGAAAGACGAGTCAAGTACTTGAGCTCCGAGAGATCTCCTTCAAGGTAGTTATCAGAAGCGTCGAAGTTAGTGAGAATGGTGATGTTTCTGAATCCGACGGGAAACTTTCCAGTCAATCTATTACTATATAACTCAAGCTGCCAGAGCTTCCTAAGATTCGTGATCCCCGTAGGAATATTGCCTGTTAAATTATTGTCAGCGAGTTCTAGATTTGTGAGCTCTGCAAGATTCCCTATACCTTCCGGAATTTGTCCTTGGATACTACAATTTGAGAGATAGAGCCACTGAAGCTTGCGAAGGTTCAGAACCTCCACAGGGAAAGGGCTGGGATCGAATTGGTTGTCTCCGAGACTCAAGAAAAGAAGATTCGTCAGATTTTTTAGTGAATTCCATGGAAAAGGACCCGTAAATCCACTTAAGTTTAGGCTGAGGACCTGTAATTCACTGAGGGAGGATAGATCCGGCACCGTTCCGGAGAAAGAATTGAAACCGATATCCAACTGCTTCAGGCGAGTACAGTTCTTCAAGTTTTCTGTAATGGATCCGTAGAGTAAATTATTACCGAGGGAGAGCATCTGCAGAGACGGAAGCTGACAGATGGAATCAAGTGGAAGAACTCCAACTAGTCGGTTATTGGACAAATCGATTCCAGTAACGGATCCATCCAGCCCGCAAATAACTCCATCGAATTTGCAGGGGTTTCCATTCGGTGTCCATGAATCGAAAACATGCGTATCAGATTTCTGAAGCGCTGTCTTCAACTTGAGTAAGTTGTCAATCTCGCCGGCAATGCAACTGGAGAAAGGAAAGGCAAGGAACAGAAGAAAGAGAGGATGGAAGAAGTCCCGCCGAGAAGGTCGCCGGTAGGTGCAAGGCACCGACATATCGGCCGGTGAAGGAAAGGGGGAAGACTTTTCTCAGTCTTGAAGCTGAGTAAGAGTGCAAGTAAGACCGAGGGAGAAAACTTCAAAGAGTTCACATATTAGCACAACGGTGGGACCTTGTACAGTGCACAATTGACGTGGCGCTAAATGATTGATAGGCACGAGATTTTTTTTATTAATAGAAATTAATTATTTATCTATAATGAGACTGTCGGAAATTTATTTGTTTTATTTAACGGATAAAAAATGCGGAGCAGCGAGGGATGGAAGCTTCCGGCCGCCTGGATTGACTCAGCTCCCACAAGCTCACACGATGAGCAATCACGTGGTTGAGTTTATTTTGCTTTCGTTTTTTGTCTTGTTCAGTTTGGGATGGGATCCGTAATTACATTATAAATTAAAGTAATTATAAGTGTATCGAATGTATCAATGAGGATCCTTTTGGATATTGACATTCTAACTGATTGGAGGGTGGTGATTCACTTTAAAATTTTAAAATCGACACCAGATGATGTTCTTTTTTATTACACTTTTTTTTTTTTTTCTGAATGAATGCCGTGACTATTAATGATGCATTAATGCCTACTGGCTTTTGAATAAATAAGCAAAGTTGGTTGAGAGAGGTGAGAGTAATTTGGTATGACATGCGTGTTGTTTTCCGAGCTTGAAGTAAAAGTTGGACGAATGTTGGGTTTGGGGGTGGGCTACTACTCCCGACGGGCCCCGGTTGTGAACTGTAGCCCCATCCCATGGATCCAAAAATAAATAAATAAAGGGATGAATTGTCAATGTTGTATCCTAAATAAATAAAAAATAAAAAAGAATTGTCAATGTTATAGAGACTGTTGTTATCTACATAAAGCTAGGTGGCATTTCCGATTGATAAAAGTTCTTCCGCTATGATGTGTTTCGAAAAAGCATAGATTTTTCCTTGCATAAGATATCCACCCATAATGAAAATTGAACTAATACGAAGGGGAGTAACCTCTATTTTAGGCTGTACTTACTATTTAGTTCAAAAAATATAAGAAAAATGAAGGAAAAGGTTAAGAAACCTATTCAATATGTCAAATAAAGCGTTTTTTTTTATTGAAATATGATAGGTAAATTTCTTTGCACCAAATCTTTCACCACCAGTACAGGTCATAAAAAAGGAGAAACCGACCATGCATTTGACCTCAATAAAAAACGAGTATGTTTCGTCAAACAATTGGCCACAACATTACCATGATGTAGAGATAGTGAAGTGATCAAACTCCCACAATAGGTTTATGCAATTGGCTAAAAGATGATGACTTATCACCTTGATTTTATCACATAGTGATGACTCATCATTATCAAAAGGGCCAACTTATCTAGCAACGCGAGATGAGAGCTTTAAGAATTATCACTTTTTCCCAATTGAAAAATCTTTCTCCTTAGGCTTTGTTAAGATTCGGTGTGATGACATTTTACACTGAACCGTATATAGGTGACCATTACATTTTGAAAACCATGATAAAAAGTGTAACGTTTTGCATCGATAAAATCGATAGAAGAAAAACTTTATGCTTGATGAGGTTTTACATCGATTCACAATGTAAAATTTTACTTCATCAAAACGCATGTAAAACTATATCGGAATGGAGTTTTATATCAATTATAATTGATGGAGCGCAATTCGGTCGATCCTACCTGTTAACGATCTTGCCTCTGACTGGAGCAAAAGGTGCTTGAAACGGGGAAGAAAGCGAGTAGTCTCCAGGGAGGAACCCGGTGAGAGTGCTCCGAAGCTCAAGTTAGTATTTTCTCAAAGGCAAGATAAAAAACCAGATG